TAAGGAAGATTAAAAATTTCTTGAATGAAGTCAAAGTTTCTTGAGCCAAGAAAATTTCTTCTTGCTCCAAAATAACTTTTGTCTTCCTTAAAATTTTCTTGGCGCAAGAAGTTTGTTTTTACTGTGTAGTTTCCATCATTTAAATAAGTTATTGAATTGGTTAAAAAAAGAGTTTCAATAAAAAAATTTCATGAGTATCAATTAAAAAGATTTGTCGATTTAAAAGTACTCAAGTCTGAAAAAAAGTTTTGATTATCAAATTTCGTCTCTTAATCGATCAAATTTAATCTATATTCCCGATTAAATAATTATCATAAATCCACTTTCCTGTCGTATCTAGATATCCAGTAATTTTTCATTGGTTATTTTATTTTTAATCGTTCATATTATTTTTCTACATTTTTTAAGCGTGAATTATCAACTAAATTTCTCGCGAATGATAAGATAATATTAGTCAATTAATACCTGTGAATTAAAGGCTTTGGTTTCATATTATGCAAATAAGCAACACCCTGAGCACATTGCAAAGCCCAACTTATGGCATGGCTTGCTGTATATCTTGGTTTTGGTTCACAATGTAGCACTGCAAAATAATATCATCAATAAAACTAAGCAACAATAATAATATTCATTCATATTGATAAGATGTATATCATACCATTGTATAGAGATCCACCTTCAGCATACTCCATTACCAAACAAACAGGATCTTTAGTACACGCACCATAAAGTCGTACGATATTAGGATGCGATACTCGTGACAATTGTCTTACTTCAACAGCAAATGCTCTTCTTTCACCTTCAGTGTTGATATGTTTTATTGCTACGTAACGTCCACGCCACTTGCCTTTCCATACAACTCCGAAAGATCCTTTTCCCACCACCTAACAAAAAGTTGTAATTTTATCAATTCTTAAAATAAATGTTATAAAATATAAAAAATAGTAAGCAATGTAAATAAATAATTATAACATGAATAATAATAATAATAATAACAACATTGATAATGCAAGCTAACCTCTTCTGTTTCAATTTCATTGTAATCAATTTCTTCAACAAATTGTTGAAGTAACTTTTGTTTCAACAATTTGGGAGGTAAACTTGGAGATTTTGTTGACAATTGTGATGATTCTGATGATGATGATGATGATGATGACAATGGTGTTGATTCAACTGTTTTTGTTTTTGTGGGTCCGGACGTGTTGAAATCAAGTTTTTTATCACCAAAATCTATTAAATCCAATTGCTGATTTTCTTGTTTTATATTTTTCGACATTTCACACAAAAATTAACACTTAGCAGATAAATTAGTTTTTTACATATTATTCACATGACATTTCACACACTGCTTGACGTTAGTTAAATCAACCTCATGACACTCATGACGCGTTTTATCTTTAGCAATTGATTGAATATTATATGAAGATTTATAAAATTATTGAAAATTTTATTCTTTTTATGATAATGGAATTTGTTAATTACCTTATTATTTGATTATTGAAAGTTATTAATTTATTTATTGTAGTAATTAATTTAAGAAAAATTATTGTTATGTGTAGTTTTCAAGTCAATTGTTACAGGTACTTTGTTTTTCATTTTTTTTTATTATTTGTTTATTTAATTATTTATAAGTGTTTTAATTATTTTAATAAGTTTATTTTTTTCTTAACATGATAAAAAGTAATTAGTGCAGAAAAGTTAAGTAGATAGCGCTATTTGTATGAAACGATTGTAGATAACTTATCGTCATTTTATTTTTAGGAATTTGGGAATCCCGACGTTTTCGATGAATGTTGCATTCGCGCAATTTTTTAAACTGTCAAAATGTCATGTCTGTTAAATTAATTTCTTTTTGAACTATTAATAAATTCAACTTGTGTGTCGGATGAATAAATATAAAATTTATATATACCGAATTTTTTTAATTAATTTTTTTTATCACTTATCTTTCTATATTTATAAAATACATGAAAGTCTTAGAGTTAGTGGGTTGCAGTCAACTAGTCAGACTGACAACATTCCGAATTAATAAATTACTAGAACTTAGAAAGTAAATATTAAATGTAATTTAAAATAATTAATTTTACTAATTTAAAAATTCCGAAAAATATAATCTTAAATGAAGAAAAAACTAAAGTATATTAATAGAATCTTTCAAAGTCACAAAGTCTCAATAAATTAAAAAACATAACAACGAAAATTTGTACGCCAAAATGAATGAACAGACGAACACTCATTTAGCCGAAAAATGTAAATAATTTTATATTTAGATTAGAAATTTTTTAAAATTAATTATTTTAATTAATTTCAAATTAATTAATTTTTTAAAATTAATTTTATTTTAATTTACAAGCATGTATGGAAAACACTCGAATTTCATGCTTATAAAGATGAACGATCTAAGAAAAATTTCCAATTTTTTGAATGAGTAATTTTCGACTAAATCATTATTTGGATAGATGAGTATTTGGATGAATATACGTCGGAACGAACCTTTTTTGAAATCAAATTAATTTTAACTCTTGAGGAATATAAGATTTATATTTACTTATATTCGATAACCCGTTGTTTTATAATTTACAAAATTGTTTTTTGGCTGGTATTCTATTTAAGCTTATGTATTTTAAAAACTTTGAATGTAGCGGAATTTTAAATTTTCTAGAGATTTAATAATTCGGAATGTTGTCGATCTAACTGGTTGACCGCAACCCAAATTAAGGCGCGCGCGTAGCGCGCTATTTAAGTCAAAAAGCAAACCAAATCAAAGGTATCTTATACCCGCTGATCTCAACTAAAAGTAAATTAAGTATTAAAAATAAACTTATTCTATATAAAATGTTGATAAAACCTGTATTACTTTATGGATCTCCAATATGGAGCAATACATTTAAGACTAACATTAATAAAATTAAAACTGTTGAAAATAAAATTTTAAGAATGATAAGCAATGTAAGTTCGGACATATCGAATAAAACTATAAGAGAAAATCTTAATATTAATGAAATATATTGTGATATATTTAATCAAACTAAAATATTCTATGAACAAAGAACTAAACACCTAGAAGAACTAAAAAATATTGGAATATACAATAATAACACCACTCCATTTAAACTCAAGTATAAACTACCTCATAGTATACTCTTAGACTAAAACAAACCATCATAACTTTGTAAATTTTGTATATTTTGTACATATTGTTAGCTAGTCTTAAGTTTAGCTTGTAAGTAAGCCTATGGCTTTAAAATTCAAGTGGTTTTTTAAACTTTTCCCACAAATCCAATTCCAAATAATCTAAAAAATACAAAAATATATTTTAATAATACAAACATTTGTTAGAATCTACGGATAGAAACAAGTATTTTTAAGCTATTCTCATGTAACTTACTCATGTAATACAAATTCAAAAATAAAGATATTTATTAAATGAAAAACGCCAGAGCACTGAGATTGAGTGATTGTCGCTGTGAGTGAAAATGAAAAAAAAAAAAATGCGCTATTTAAATTTATAGTTTGTTGAAAAAATAATTATCAAATCCCAAACGGCACAATTTTTTTTTGTTAATGTTTTGTTGAATTTAAGTTGACTATTATTAATTTTTTAACTCCTTGTTGAGTAAAATCTAACAAAAAGTCAACATTTTTTTTGTGACGCTTGGGATATCTCATAATTTTTACTATCATAAAATTATTCTCAAAACTTTTTATCATTTTCAAATTCAATGCATTCGAAATAATGCACGCTTGTGATGAAATAATATAGTTTTTTGAACTCAAAATATTAATTTTGATATCTTTTGAGCTCTGCAAGCTGGAGAAGGTAATTTTGGTAGTTTCTGAAGAAGGTAATCTGAGATCGAATATGTTGAAATTATTTGAATACAGTGCATTTAAAAAAATTTTTAATCTTGACAGGTATTTTTGAAATAAAAAATTTAATTTTGATATGGTTGAAAGGTTTCAAAATTTTAACTAATTGTTCTTTACAGATATTAATAAGATAATAATATTAATAAGATAAAAATATCTTAGGAAGTCGTTTAGCTTGTTATAAATTAACGTAAATAATTGTAATCAAAGTACAATTTAAGTTAACCATTGAAATATCAAGTACATTTAGATTATAATAAAACTTGGAGTTAATTTTTACGTATTGAAAAATTTGGTGGCCCTGAAAAGGGCCGTTTGGTTTGGTTTTAGTCAGAAAGAGGAAGTTTACTTAGAGCTGGTGTACTTAGTGACGGCTTTGGTTCCTTCACTGACGGCGTGTTTGGCCAATTCACCGGGTAACAGAAGACGGACAGCTGTTTGAATTTCCCGTGAAGTGATGGTGGAACGCTTGTTGTAGTGAGCGAGTCTGGAAGCTTCAGCAGCAATACGTTCGAAGATATCGTTGACGAAGCTGTTCATGATGCTCATGGCCTTGGAGGAAACACCGGTGTCCGGGTGGACCTGTTTCAGCACCTTGTAAATGTAGATAGCGTAACTTTCCTTCCTCTTCTTCTTGCGGCCCTTCTTGTCAGACTTGGTAATGTTCTTCTGGGCTTTGCCAGATTTCTTTACAGCTTTACCACTAGCCTTGGGTGGCATGATAATAGTTGATAATTATCGATTGACGAGAATCTGAATTTTAAGTGATATTAAGCTTTGGTAGCTGGAGTGCAACTGGTGAATTGCAAGTTTTCGATTTAGGTTTTAAAAGAGAAGAAAAGGAGATTGACCATCTGTGAAACATGATCGCAGTAAAGGGGGAAAGAGTGTACGTAATCTCGTTCGCTCGCGTGCTTCGATAAAAAATATCAACAATAGTAACGCCTATCGGAACTCGCGGGCTAATGCGATTAAAGTTATAATTCCCCACTTCTTTCTACATCGTTCACTCTACCGCGAGCTCCGACGGAAAACGCATTTAAGTGTCAGCACGACGCGATATTACCATAACTCCCGCTAGAGCTCGCTCTACTTTGTCGGTGTTCAGTTTTACCTCGTACTCACTCATCATGTCTGGTCGTGGAAAAGGTGGTAAAGTAAAGGGAAAGTCAAAGACCCGCTCAAGCCGTGCTGGTCTCCAATTTCCAGTGGGTCGTATCCATCGTATGTTACGTAAGGGAAATTACGCTGAACGTGTTGGTGCTGGTGCTCCAGTTTACCTCGCAGCTGTCATGGAATACTTGGCTGCTGAAGTCCTAGAGTTGGCTGGAAACGCTGCTCGTGACAACAAGAAGACCAGAATCATCCCCCGTCATCTTCAGTTGGCCATCCGTAACGATGAGGAATTGAACAAACTTCTCTCCGGAGTAACCATCGCCCAGGGAGGTGTCTTGCCTAACATTCAGGCTGTTCTTTTGCCCAAAAAGACTGAAAAAAGCAGCTCTTAAATTCTATTCTCTTTTTTTCTCCAAACAAAACGGCCCTTTTCAGGGCCACCAAATTTTTCCTAGCGTAAAGACTTTTATAGTATAATTACTTTTATAACTTTCCTCTAAGAAAATTGAAAATTTTCGAAAATCGGGAAGTCATTGGTTTTAATTTCAAACAAACTACGAAAAAATTTTTTTCAAATGTTTTTTTGGAATAACTTTTAAACGGCTTTACCGATCAATTCCAAAAACTAATCAGCTCTCAACCTCAAAAAACCACGTTGATCGTTGTCAGTCGGGTCAAAATCGATTGCTTCGTTCGAAATGGACATCATTGTCGAAAAAAAACCGAAAATGTTTTTTCGGAATTACTCCAAAATTTCTAGTTCGATCAATTCAAATGTCAAGATTCTTAATGAGGCTTCAAAAACTGCGTCGAATGTGGCCAACCGCGTGAAAATCAATTCATTAATTCAAAAGTTAATGCGGTTTGTAAATTAAAAAAATAATATTTTATTAAACTTTTATCAGACTTTTGAGCTCAGAGAGCTCAAAATGATACGAAAATTATATTTTTGAGCTCGACGAGTTGCAGGGATGGCCTTCAGGGTCAACCGTTTTCCTAATTTTTTCATTTCAAGTTAATAAATAAAAAATAAACAATAAACAATAAATTAAAAATACCTAAAAAAATTTTTAACTTCCCGCTAAAAATCTCAGATTTTCAAAAATCGGGAAGTTATTGTTTTCACCCCGTTTTACAAAAATCGAGTTTTCATCAGATCTCGACGTTTGAAGGTCACAGGAAACTTCCCTGACTATTTTTACGATGATGTCCGTACATCTGTATGTGTGTGTGTGTTTTTTTTGGGGGGGGGGGGAATCC